ACTGAAGGGGGTTTAATAGTGAATAATGACTTACAGTCCTTTTTGTTTGGGATATAAAGCACATAAATCATATAGATAGATTTTATTTTGACATAATAAAGTTTTTTTTAAATATTCAAATATGTTTTGGTTAACAACTGTCCTTGGAATGTTACTTTTTAGGCAAAAAAAAAAAAACCTTGATGCTTTTGAATCAACATAACAACTGTTAAAGGGTTAGTTCAGGCCGCAAAAACAAAACAAAAACAAAAACTCTGAAAACTGACATAACCAAATCTGAGGCCTGTTGCATAAAATGAGTTGAGCAAACTCTGGGTTGCAGAGTAAGTTTTGGGTTGAGAAATCCTGGTTAAGGTCAGGTTAAGTGCTTTGAAACTTAGAGTTTAATCTAGAGTTGTTGATTAACTCTGGACCAAATGCTCCTAAAAATGTGACATTTGCAGCAAACAGCCAATCACACAACAGGTGAGCGAAACAGCTTGATTCATATCTCACAATACACTTGAAGATTAAAAGATATCATTATGAGAAATTTTATAAAAATAAATACATTTACAAAGCAAAAATATACACAGTTGATGCAGCAAAAGTTATATTATAAAAGCAAATATTAAATCAATGACAACTAATCAACTGATATTAATAATGTTGCTTCACAAACAGCTCAAATTGGTCATTTTAAAAGCCTTATATTCATTCATTCATTCATTCATTTTCTTGTCAGCTTAGTCCCTTTATAAATTCAGGGTTCGCCACAGCGGAATGAACCGCCAACTTATCCAGCAAGTTTTTACGCAGCGGATGCCCTTCCAGCCGCAACCCATCTCTGGGAAACATCCACACATAAACACACTACGGACAATTTAGCCAACCCAATTCACCTGTACCACATGTCTTTGGACTGTGGGGGAAACCGGAGTACCCGGAGGAAACCCACGCGAACACAGGGAGAACATGCAAACTCCACACAGAAACGCCAACTGAGCCAAGGATCGAACCAGCGACCCAGCGACCTTCTTGCTGTGACTCGAACGTGCTACCCACTGCGCCACTGCGTCGCCAAGCCTTATATATTAAAGCTCATTTATGTGTCATTTTATATTTTATTAATATTTAAATGTTAGTTTCAATTTAAAGTCTTTATTAATTTTAATTGACAATTCAAAATTATTTGAACACATAATATAAAGTTTAAATAATTGTAATGTAAATAAATTATTAGCAACAAAAGACCATGTATAAAAGCATTTTTTTTTCAGCAAAAAAGACACACAGGGCCTGGGAGTGGCTTTGCTGAATCATATATATTGGATAATGTTTATTTTTGCATAACTGCTGGCTGGAGTTTCAACATTTCCTCCACTAATTATAACAATAGGAACAACCCTGACAAGGGGATTAAGACATGAACTTACAGTCTCTTTTGCAAGCTGACGTACTGTATTTTTATATATGTCACGTAACTCACCTATTCGTCCAGTTTGGGTTTGCTGTGTAGCGTATAGTTACCAAGGTGACAAAACCCGAACAAAATCAACCCACCTTCTAGAGTTTGAAAACGCATAGTTATCTGGGTAAAAACCCAATCCACACTGTAAATAATTCTGGTTTCCACACAATTTATTTATGTTGTCAAACACAAATCTTTTACAAATTTAAGTGGACTGAACATAAAGCAATTAAAAGGGACCTATTATGCAAAAAAAAAAAAAAAAAAAACAGTTTTCAAAGGGGTTTAAACAGTTATATGGCAAAATTCTGAGTATAATCAGCTTCTAATGGTAAAAATGTAGTAATTTAATTTTCAGAATTACACTTCATAAAAACTGTTTGCAGAAACACTTTGATTCTCCCTTTGTATCGTCAGAGGGGAAAAGTCCTGCCCATTAGAGATGATATCCCTCATTAGCATATGATATGATGTTAGTCTTGTTTTTGAATCAGCCACTATGCTGACACATAGGCATTTGTAGCCCCACCCACTAGTAAAAAGAGTGTTGGCAGCACGATCTTATTTAAATTTAAAGCAACAGTCATCAAAATAGCCCAATTAGGATAAAAAAGGGCAGATTCAAAAACATTATAATTAACACATACACACTCCAAGGATATCAGAGACTTATTTTAAAATTTGTAAAAGAAACATAACAGGTCCCCTTTAAGCTGTCCAAAAAAGTAAGAATTGTGTTGTTCCAACTCATTTTAAATTAGTAGTTTTGGCACACAGCAAAAGTTAATTTTCGAGTGTAGCTTTGTGCAACAAGCATCTGAAAGATTTTCCCACCATTGAAAATCAGAATCTCAAATACACCTGCTTGTTATGTGAAAACAAAGCTCATTGGTTCTTGCAGAAACACAAATGTGCTGGTTTGATAGTTCGATGTGTATATAAAGTTTCATTTTTGTGACTACTAAAATAGGCCACTATAGTTCTAGTTCTATCTTTTAAGTTATCGCTCTTGGTCTGAATGTCCCTAGCAGGGGTGGTCAGTGATGAAATACCTTTCCTTCTTACTGCCCAGCTTGTTGGCTGTGTACTGATCCCCATAACTTATGAGGTTCAGCTGACGTGAAAAGATGTTCACTCGGTTTCCAACAAACAGATCTTCTGGTTGAAGCTCCTCCAACTTGGTCCTCCGCAGGAAGGTCCGCTGGTTCTTCATATCAAACTACATGAGAGAAACACATGTAAGTGAAATAAGACTCAAACATCAGAGACAATCGTCAACATCAGGTTCTAAAATCTAAACACACCATCTCCACCGAGCCATCTTTAGGGTAGTAGAGCAGCTGGTATCGCCGCAGGAGAGCCGCACTGGGGTCGTACCACTCAGCCAGAAAAGCAAAGCGCTCCTCCTGTGTATAACACAACAGACACAACAAAACACACAGTCAAGCCAGGCGTTGCAGGGGAATGTCACTGATCTGACCCTAACGCTTGGACAAGGGAGTCCCCACAGCCGCGTTTTGACCCTCAACACAGACGGGCAGCTGAGTCTGGTAACATGCCGAGTCAGAGGTTCAGACCTTAAATCAGCTCTCTTATTCCCTGGGGAGATTCACTGCAAATGGGGAGCCATTATCCAGCTGCTGGAAACACTGCTGCTGAAAATATGCTCCAAATGCACAAACAGAAAAACTCAAGCCAATAATCCTAACAGCTAATATACGCTAATATAACCATTATGATAGCTTATATACTGTAAAAGTCATTGCAACTTGTTTAAAGGGCATGCATTTGACCCCTTTTTCAAGATTTAAGATAAGTCTTTTGTGCCTCCAGAATGTGCGTGTAAAGTTTCAGCTCAAAACACAAATCAGATTATTTATCATACCTTTCAGAATGTTGGATTTTTTTGCTTTGAACACTATGTAGCTGTTTTTGTTGCCTTTGCCTTTAATGCTGGTTCTCCCCACCCACTGTTCCCACATGCCTGTCAGAGTGTGCCTTACCCTCCAGCTACATCAGATAAACAGTACAGTGACAGACATTATGGAAGACGATCCCACGTAACGTTTGTAAATATACAACAGCAAGAACTTTCCCAATGATTATTTGATGTATGTGTTGTGGAGTTATTTCAAGCCTTTCGATAAGTCACACACAATGTCGTTACAAAGTTCAAGCGCACAAACATGGACACACACATGCACGCACGCACACAGCGCACGTTTAACTTTGCACGGCAAATGTGACAAAATACATTGTTAAAGTACAAAAATAAACCTGATTTAACATCCACAAACCGAGATTGAAGCATCTTCTTTTATAATAGTATTAACATGCGGCTGTGGTGATGAAGTAAAGACGGTAAAATTGAATACAAAAAAAATAAAAAAAATTTTACAAACATGCACTGTTTTAAAAATGTTTTAAACTTGTAAAACTCATTCTTGATCACATTTGATGATGATTGATGATCTCAGAGTGCTGACCAGATCTTTTAACCCCAGTTGCTTTGCGCATGTCCTGCCTTGTTGATATGATTATATGCATTACTATGGACTGAGACATGTTAATACACAGCGGCCAATCTATTCGGTGGGCAGTGAAACCACACTCCTACATCACGTTGCGATGGGCCTCAAAATGAGAGGGATTTGGATCCTATTTTAACATCAGGAAATTTTTAAAAAAGAGACTTATTGCATTTATACCACCCCAATATGACTGTGGACACACTATACCTACACACAGTCCTGTCCAAACAGCTCACAAAAGATGATTTTCATCATAGGTGTCCTTTTACAAAAACAAAATAAGGCCACCTAAAAACCATTGTTGTATACAGCTGCATCTTCAAACAAAACAAATTGCAACGTACACTAAATTTTTTTTTGCTTGTTCAAACTACTTAATTAAAATAAGCTGAATCAACAAAATTCTTGAGATTTCATTGAGACAATTGAATATTTTATGTTCCATCCACATAAATTTGTTCAAAATGTTAAGTTAACTTAATCGATTTGTGTTGTGACAACATGAATGAATTGTGTAGAACCCTGAATTTTTACAGTGTATGAAATAATAATTAATAAATATTCAAAAAATAAATCAAGATAAAACAAAAATGTTTTTCAGACTTACAGTGGCAAGTAATAAAGCTGTCTTCCATATTTCTTAAATAATTTATGTAATTTTGTCAGACCAAGCTGTTTGCAAAATAAAAAAAGCAAAAATACATTATTACATACTTCCTTAAACTCAATTTAAAATGGGCATTGTAACTTCCATAAAAATGGAATTAATTACAATTCATTGCACCGGAAAGCCTCTGCACAACAAAACAGATAATACAACAAAATATGAAATCATTTGAAGTAAATTTATAAAATAAATATATATTTTTAATGACCCTTTAATTATTTTTTTTTTTGCTTTTTGTCATATAAATAAAATCATAAACACAACATAAAGTCTTTATACAATGTCCTAAACCAAAGAGATTATGAAAGAGATTATAGACTTATAAGAGGGAGACATTTGAGACTTTTTTGCAACCTAAAAAATGACAAAATTTAAGGAATGTAAAAGCTTATTAAGATAAACAAATCATGCTTGTGTTCATGCTCTTTTTCGATTAAGCCACTGATGTTTGTCATCTTGATACCAACTTAAAGGTGCCCTTGAACAAAACATGGAGTGGGCAGCTGGAGAGATCTGTCCTCGGCAGAGCGCCACCATGTGGCAAATATTCAAATCACATGTACATTTGATTCAGCATGTACTAACCACACAAGCAGCATAGACATAATTTATTGAATGATCTGATCATTATTCAACAATCTAAACATCAAGTCAAGAAAAAGAAATGCGGGTTTATGACAGTCACGGATAACCATAATTAATTTATTATTTAGATTAACTAATAACTTGAATAGAATCATCTGCAGTGAATTTTACTATTAGAATGCTTTAATGTTGCATTTCAAGGCACTATGCCATCTATTCTCCATGCCACACGCTTGCTAATTATAGAGGCAAAATGTCCACTCTGAGGTCTAACATGGAATTACATTACTAACTAATTGAACAACAGATAATTAGGTCATCTGCAGGATAGCGCAAATGCTTTCTAATTTATCATTCCTCACAAATTCAATGAGAATGCCTTTAACGTAATAGAGAGCTCGACAGAACAGGGCCTCTTCCCCAAACAAGGGCTATTTTTACCCCTCAGTCAGCTGTGACAGAGATAATAATGACAAGCAACAGCCTTCTTTGTACAAATACGTTGCCCCACAGGTCGGAAAAGCCATACATTACATCAAGAGCTTATAGCGAGTCACATTGTAATTTCTAGAATTAAGTTTTGGGACAAAGTTAAAAGTTTCAGACATTGTTTTAAGTGCTGTCAAGATTATTTCTTTATTAGCACAGATTATAATCATCTCATCTAATGTCCTGAAACATGACAAAAAATGTAAATTAATGTAATTAATTTATTTGTTTGTTGGTGACGCAGTGGCACAGTAGGTAGTGCTGTCGCCTCACAGCAAGAATGTCGCTGGTTCGAGCCTTGGCTGGGTCAGTTGGCGTTTCTGTGTGGAGTTTGCATGTTCTCCCTGCATTCGTGTGGGATTCCTCTGGGTGCTCCGGTTTCCCCCACAGTCCAAAAATATGCGGTACAGGTGAATTGGGTAGACTAAATTGTCCATAGTGTATGAGTTTGAATGGGTGTGTATGGATGTTTCCCAGAGATGGGTTGCAGCTGGAAGGGCATCCGCTGCGTAAACGTGTGCTGGATAAGTTGGCGGTTCATTCCGCTGTGGTGACCCTAAATTAATAAAGGGAGTAGGCCGAAAAGAAAATGAATGAATAAATGATTGAATGTTCGTTTTTTTACCCCAATAAACACCAAATTAATTTTTTACAACAAGCAACAATGAGGCAATAATGTCCTGTTACAGATTCTTAATAATTAGTAATATAATATAATATGATATAATATAACATAATATAATATAATACCGTTTGCTTGGCTTCAGTGTGAATGTAAATAAGGTTTATAAAGAACCAAAACTTAAAATTCATTTTAATATAATATAATATAATATAATATAATATAATATAATATAATATAATATAATATAATATAATCAGGTTTCAGAGTAATTGCAAACGATATTTAAAAAGAAAAAAAAAACAGAAAATAAAATTTAAAACATTATTTTAACTACAATAAAGACAATCATAAAGGTCACTGAAATTTTTATCCTGAAAAATTATCCTACTTTCCATGGTCATGTTGTTTCATTTCTCTAGTCTGAAAGATTATTTTGTAAGGTACATAACATGGACTGCTATTAAATGTCCACATTTGCCTGTGCCAATTTTTTTTGTACATATGCATGTCTATTCAGAATGATTTAAGGTCTTTTCTCTAAATGTTCCCATTACAAACTGCATCCTAATGGTTTTGTATCATAAAACCAAAATGATTTAAACACACTTCAAGGTGGATCTAAATGAACATTCTATAAGAGCTAAATCACTGACTCCTGTAAATGAACCTGGGCAGAATTAACTGGAAATAGCTAGGCTTATCCACCGCCTCTAACACAGTGAAAAGTAGGGCTTTCCTCTCAAGAGCCCTTCTTGGACTTTCTCAGACACCTGCTGTGGCCCTATGCTATCACTGCAAACATTTCATGCTGTCTGCATGGAGATGGATCAATGTACACTATTAAGGAGACCGAATGTGAATTGGAAAATAAACAGTGTAGGTGCACAACAGAGAAAGAAGACGATGGCGAAGATATCCCGTTACCCACAGAATAACAGGGTTTAGTCTGTTGTGGAAATGACACTAAAAAAGCATGTTTTTTTCCACACACTGACATAAAAGTTTCTGACTGAATATGGCGTCTTTCATTTCATTGTGATGTTGTAGAGCCCTAGGCCACACAACTACATTTCAGATACATCAAAAATTAAGCAACTTACAAATGTCCACCAAACCATATTCAGTCAGGAGCCAGAGATTTCTTTTGAAAGCAACTTCTCCAATAACTATTTCTTCTGGAGGAAAACAGTGACATCAAGTGGTGGACCAAATAACAGCGTTTGATATGTCAAAACAATACAAATATTCCAAGTTTATAAACACCGTTTTGTTTAGTATATCATGATAAACATTCTTCATTTAACAAAACTTTAAACAGCCAACTAGTTTCCAGTTTATTTTTTGTAACCTCGATTAACTAAGTTAGATTAACTTACAGTTCACATGAGATGTTCAGCACGTTGCATTTGTTATATTTAGTGCACAAAACACATATTTGATATAGTGGGTTTTGTGACTTTGTTCATCTCAGTACGTTAGAGACACTGAACAATAAAAAATAAGAATTGCTAAAACGCAAATGACTTCCGCTAAAACTAAAATAACCATTCATGATCCTATGAGTTTAGTTCTTCATCAAACATATCTTAAAAACTCAGTAAAAATATTTTCCACTTACCATGTGTGAATTTTGTTATTAAATGGATAATGTTAATGACTGTTGTTTGTTGTTTAAGAGAAGGTGGGTCGTCTTCCTTTATCCTCGCTGTTATGTGCCACCATCACCATAGCAACAACATCAAACGTGCTACCGACAAATAAAGCAATGAAACGGACTCCCAGTTAACGCGTAGCCTTTTTAACATTAAGACAACTTCTATTTGTGAAGTCTACTCAGTAAACAGACGACTGGAGGTTGAATATTTTGCTTAGTTCGATTCTCACTGTAACCCGGAAGCGTTCGTTTCTGACCTTTACCGCCAACTGACGCGCGCGCACATGGGTTTGTTATGGTTGGGTTTTTAACACTAGTTATGCTTCAGTGTTCATTGCTGAGCTATGCAATAATATCTCGAGCTATGTGGAAAATATTTAAATGTTAGACGGTTTAATATCCTTCTAACATTAGATTTAGCTTAAAATGTCACAAGCATTATATAATACAAGACAAGGGTCTTTTACTCTCTCCATAAAATGGTTTAATGTTTAAAGCTGAAGGTATGTCCACTCATTTCAGCAGCTGAAATGGATTCCAGTCCATTCATTTTAGATGGCGGTCTAGCAACAGAACTCGAAGCAAGTGGATTTCAGTTACAGGTAAATTAGTTATTATGACACACAGACCTATTGTCAGTAATTTAATGGTAAACTCGTACTGTGTACTGCAGGGAGATCCACTGTGGAGTGCACGCGTTCTGCATACAGATTCACAGGCTATTAAGGATGTCCATTACAGGTAATTACAAGCTTCTTTGTGCTGTTAAGCAATGAACGTTGTTTATATCTGATGCAAACCATTAAAATTAACATTACTTGTACTACATGTAACTCTTAAAATAGTGTTTTTATGAGTATATACCTTTGGCTTTCAGAACTGTCCTTGTGGCAGATAATTATCAAGGTGCTGATAAAAATACAGACGTGCAGTGCACTTATTTTTAGGACTAAATTTAGGAAACTACACATTTAATGTAACTGAATAAAAGTACCAATACTTTTAAATATTAAATGCAATTAACTTTAAAAGTATTTATGTTTCAAGTTAATTGTGTTCTTCTTAACTTACTGTTGACTAGTTTTGATAAAATCCATGTGAAAAAAGATTATTTAGCATTAAATCAGTATATTAGAATCAGATGTCATTATAGGAATAAATTACATCTTTAAATGTAAAAATAGAATAAAATTTCTAATAATAAAAGTAAAAAGATTCTAATAATATTTCACAATATTACGTTGTGTACTACATAGTTTCTACCCAGCCTAAGTGTGCTTAAAATGCATTATTCAACATCTTAACAAATCTCAGACTTTGACAGTTGAACTTTGCTTTCATTAACTTGAACTCCAAATATTATACCGTTTGTCATGGATTAGTGGCAAAGATAATGATGTATAATTTGACTTTTTTCTAAATAGATATCTTCAAAGTGGTTCTGATGTCATAACAACAGCTACGTATCAGGCCAGCATTGAGGGATTCGTGAAATATCTCGGTGTTCAACCTGAGGAGGCTCAGCACATGATGATGTCAGCAGTTCAGCTGGCAAAAGAGACAGTCTCTGAATTCATCTCTCAATCGCCCATGTCAGGTGTGTGCTTATCATTTGTGGAAAAAATGTAGAAACCCGCCAGTTATACAAAAAATATATATATTTATCCAAACTGAATATGTTTATATACTATCATAGACAGAAGAGAGCCTTTGGTTGCAGGCTCAGTTGGTCCATATGGGTCGTTTCTACATGATGGATCTGAGTACACAGGAGCCTATGAGGACAAGATGACAGTGGAGGTAATGTGAGATGAAGCTCTTTGTCCAAGCTGTGCCAGCTCATAAGAATTTCAAGTGAATGTTTTCTCTCTTAGGAGTTGAAAGACTGGCACCGTCCACAGATCCAGTGCTTAGTAAAAGCAGGAGCTGATCTTGTTGCCATGGAGACTATTCCTGGCCTCAAAGAAGCCGAGGCTTTGGTGGAAGTACTCAAAGAATTTCCAGAAACTAAAGCCTGGCTTTCTTTTTCCTGTAAGGTAACTCATATTAATGCATATGCTTTGCCTCAATTGTGATTAGCACATTAAACGATAGTCAGATGTCGTATGCATTTTATTTAAAGGCACCTTTCTTGACACTCAAGGTCACCATACAGGACAGCAAGAATAGTCAGATAAAAAAACACAAAATAAATGTGTTTATATTTTGTATAAAAGAATAACAAACATTTTTTATAAATTGCAGTTTAGTTAAAGAGAGTAGGCTGTTCTGAACAGATGTTGTTTAAGTTTTAAATGGTAAAAGAGAGTTTAGATTACAGGGATCAGGAGGAAGTAAATTCCAAAGCTGAGGAGCAGAGTGGCTGAAGGCTCTGTTCCCCATGGTGGGAAGGCGGACAGTGGGAACAGAAGACCAGAAGAGAGTGTTCGAGAAGGTGTGGTGAAATGAACAAGACTAGTCAGGTATGGAGGAGCAAGATTGTGGATGGCTTTAAAAGTGAGAAGTATTTTATAATTCATTCTGATAAAGATGGGAAGCCAGTGAAGCTGTTGTAGAATGAGTGTGATGTGACAGAGAGAGGGGGTGTTTGTGATTATACAGGCTGCTGCGTTTTGTACCAGTTGTACTTTATTAGGGGTTTTATTAGGGAGGCCATTACAGCAGTCTGAAGGGGATGTGACTAAACTATGAACAAGAATGGCAGTTGAATGAGGTGTGAGGAAAGGACGTAAACGATTTATATTTCGAAGGTGGAAATAAGCAGACCGGGTGACGTTATTAACATGTGCAGTGAATGAAAGGATGCTGTCGAAGATGACCCCTAGACTCTTAACCTGAAGGAAGGGGGTAATGACAGAATCATCTGGGGGTATAGAAAAGTTATGTGATTTGTTTAAAGTGAATTATCAGAAGGTATGAGTATGCGGCCAGAAGTTAACGAGAATTATTTATATAATTTATTAAATTACCCAATAGTTGTAATTTAATAATGTCTACCCAACCCTCACCGTAATTATCCCTAGTATTATTCATATTAATATATTAAGTATTAAATTGTGTTTTATTAACTCCTACCTCAGTCCTAAATGCAACGCTTACAGTAATGTAAAAACGGTAATTATTGTTATACGGTAATTGCATTTTAATATAAATAATTATCATTAACTTCCAGCCGGAGATGTCTCACTTCTAGACTTTACCTGTATAGTCCACATAAATTGTTTTATGTATTTTTTGTTTGCTTTTTAACCCCAACAAAGTGTGTTGAGCCAACCAAATGTGTGCAGAACATGTTTAAGTTTCACTCTTCTGTTGATCAAAGAATAAGATATTTTGAAGAATGTTGGTAACTGGAAGTCATAGACATGCTTAATAGCAAAATACATACAATGGAAGTCAACGGCTAGTACATTCCAACATTTTTCAGAATATCTTCTTTCCTGTTCAACAGAAGAAACAAACTTTAGGCTTGGACCAAGTGAAGGGGTCATAAATGATGACAGAATCCCTAAACATGTTAAGATAGCCCATGATAACATCCATAAACATATTGAGAGTGTGCTAGACACAGCTATTAATCTGTTTCAGGACAATAATAGTATTTCTAGCGGGAGGAGATTTTCTGAAGCGGTTGAGATGGCATGTAGGTCCACACAGCTGGTTGCTGTCGGGGTGAACTGTTGCCCTGCTCTTTTGGTGAAACCACTTCTAGAGTCAGCCAAGTCCCACAAAAGAGCAGATTTGAGCTGGGTGGTCTATCCTAACAGCGGAGAAGGATGGGATGTCACGACTGGGTAGGTTATCAATATTTTATTGTAATATTTATTTATTAATATTAATAATAATATTTTATTGGGGCTGGTGGAGCTTTAGTGATTCGTCCTTCAACTGTGACATTTGTATTAAACTGAACAGAATGTAACTGAACCAAACTTCAACAGTGAGATCTGCATTAAATTGAATGAATCTGTCTTAAATGAGCAAGAAGTACACACTAGTATTCTACCACTACTCTCCTGAATGTTTAATATGCTGGAATGTTTCCAAACTTTGGAATATTATGGCTTTTTTCTCCATCTATTTTAAGCTGCTTTGACACATTTTACACTGTAGAAGTGCTATAGAATGAATAATTACTTTACATTAATCAATACAACCTGTCTTAGAATTAGCAGTGATAGCAGGGGGTGTCATGTAAAAATATTTTTTTCCAATAAAACAGGCCTAGCTTGTGGTTATTAATTGACTTGGATTGTAACACAAATAAACTGTCTCTGTACTGTCACTGCTAAACAATTTCAGATGGAAAACCGAGATGCGGACGTCATTTGCCAATTTAAGCCTTGAATGGAAAGCACAAGGGGCTTTATGGATCGGTTGGTATTATTTTGTACCAGTCAATAAGCTTAACTGTGAACTTATCGTATGACTTGTTCTTTCATGTTGACTCACCGGAGAGCCGATCTCTGTCAACAGGAGGCTGCTGTCGTGTCCGTCCTGCTGATATAACGGAGCTCAAACAACTCCATGTACAGCCATGACTGAAGAAACAAGCTGATACCTAACACACCCAGCTGCCTCAGAAATAATGCACAGATGTGTAAGAACATGTATAAATATTTTATTTATAAATAAAAACAATACCAACACATTAGATTGACATGAGATTTGTGGTGATTAGACATTGAACATCATACATCAGATGTTGCTGTGTTAAAGGAAGAACACAAATCACAATGCACTTAACATGAAAGCAGTCATGCAGTCTTAGCTTACAGCTTTTCAAAAACAACATGATTGTAGTCCAAGTTGCTATTTACAATAAAATGACACCATCTTATTGGACAATGTCACTTCGCTTTAACCTTTGTCTGATCTGTTGAAATATTCAATGATCACAACAGTCTGAGAACTTTGACTTAGTTTGTATTTTTAGACTTACACTAATAAAGCCATTTGTGTTCATAAAATAGTAAAGCAGTCTTTAATGAAGTATTCAGATCATTCTGCAAGCACTTTAGGCTGATTAATCATTTTTTCAGTCCACACTGACCTAAGATAATCCTACCATCAGTATCATATAAATCCACTAAATAGCATATAACCAAAATGGAATGATGCGATTGAAAATCAAATATTTACTTTATGACTTTTGTATACTTAAAGCATGGTAACTGGTCACACATTTTGATTAAATCTTGTGGGCAAAAACTGTCCACTGTAT